CACATCCTACACGAAAACAAAATTTTCTTCTGGAATATATATAATAAACTTTAATACAAGTTAATAAATAATAAAATGAAAATGATGAGCCTAGAGGCAATGCCTACTATTTAGATAAAGAATTTATTTATTTTTATAATTTGAATCATTTTAATATATTTCAACTATAAAAAATTATTTATAAAACAATCGCAACGACACTCCTAACTAATTATTTATTTTTAATAGTAATTTGTTTTTGACTCTTGAAATAAAACCACTCCATTTTAGATGCTTTGTTTTAGGAAGCACCCATCCAAAAAAATAAAATACGCAGGGCTAAATACTAATGTTTTACAACAATTTTTTAGCTTGACAGGGGGATAAAAAGAAAAGCACCCACCCAAGAAAAACATTTGTACGTTAATTTGCTTTGTTTTTGGGAACAATCACCCAAAACAATTTATTCCACCAATATTTTAAATTTGTTTTTTATATTTATATATAAAAATAAAGATCAAAAGTTCTGTCAGGTTGATCCAACGGATCACCCGAAACCTGAATTGCCACAAGCTGCTAAAATTAGTCTATAGATATTGAAAAAAATTTTTGAAAAAAATTTAAAATTTTTATTTTTATTTTTATTTTAAATTAATATTTTTATATCATTTTAATACATTAATATTAAAAATAAATTTTTAAAAATAAATATTATTTTAATATATTTTAAAATTAAAAAACACTTTAAAACACAACCAACCAGAATCACATTACTAAAATAATCAAAACCTTAAAAAAATCAAACCCTTATATCAACAAGGTCCCGAGTACCTGTCAAACTGGATCAAGTCTTGTTATCTAATAATCATGATGCAAACTAATCAATGAGATTTGTAACATGCTAAAAATAATTTAATAAATATATTTATATATATTAAATGATTTGTAATTTCTTAAAATTGTTCGATATATATCTATATATTTTTTATGAGATTATTAAGTTCAAAATCTATTAAAAAGTTGACCAAGTCATAAAGACGCATCATTTTAATAATACGTAGAAACCCCCTTCGTTTTCAAACCACAACATGCTTTTAAAGTAGCCTCTAGCAAAATTAAAAACTTGGGGACACAAGGTATTGTAGTTTTCTAATATAATGATGACGTGTCAAGCATGTGTTCTATCCATTTCCAATGGAGCCTCAGGCCGCTTTAGTTAGAGCGGAAAATTAAATTTTATAAGGCACAAAAAATAACTAATTAATGATATTCTATTAATTATATCATGGTATTCACTTTGAAGAAGAGAAAAAGTATAATAAAATTCATAACTAACAAAAATGAAAACAAAATCTGTCTAATTTTTTTTTTATGTTTATATCTATATCTTTCTTCAAAGTGAACCAAAGAGAATAATTAAAAGGATATCACCCAAACACCATAAAATTTCTCAAGAATATGCATAATTCTGCATTGCATCTTTACATTTGATAGAGATGCTTCAGTTGCATATTAAATCAATTTTGCTCTTCTTGTAAGAAAACTCGGGAAGACAGACAGGTAAAGAATCAATTTTGCTCTTTCGTCAGAAAACTTGGGAAGACAGACAGGAGGGTTTACAAATATCATGTGAGCTTTGTATACAAAAAATGAGGGTGCATAAATTGTCATCCCAGGAAAGAAGAATATCAAGACAACTAAGCTGAATGCTGTTACAAGAATCCTGACCTGTCCCTTCAAGCTCCATTTTGGAATCTTGCTTCATATTCATGGGTTGGCTGCAGACACGTACAAATTCTTTGAGAAAATGGAAAGACATGATGCTGCATACAAAAAACAGCGAGGGCACACAGGGAAAGATGAAAAGATAACAGTTGCTTTGGTGGTTTCTGCAATTTCTTAGGGCAGCAAACCCCTTGCTGCTCGGAAGAAGAAAGCCAACTTCCTTGTAAGTTAAAAGAGTATCAGTTAAGCATTCCATTCTTCTTCCAAGTACAAGAAAAGAACATGTTGCTGCAAACCATGAATAATGGGGGCCAGCAGAAAAAAATGAAAAGCCAACACGTTCTAACCACTGTAATTTCTCTTATCACGGCCTACAGTGAAGTTATTCCAGAGGAAAGAAAACCACTTCTCACTCCGGAGAAGAAAAGGATGTTCCTTAAAACTTAATGGAACAGTTTAGAATTCTATTTGTATTGCAAAGTTGCCTGTAAAGCAACCTTGGGCATACTCAGCAAATTTGCTCTTGCTATGGAAATGCACATGCCCAGGACAACAAGAAGTTGAAAACAGCATTCGAGCAGCCTTGTTGAAGGACTTATTACCCAGACCAAAAGTTGAAGCCTACAGAGCTCAAAGATAAAATCTCAGTGCCAGTACAGGGGTAAACTGGGAACCTGGAAGTTCTATTCAAAGCAGGTTTTTCAAAACCTCTCAGCCTGGGCTGATGTCCCAGATGAATATGATGTATTTTCAAAATCTTTTATCTTGATTAAAGAGTCACTAAAATACAAGAGACAATCAGACGAATCGTGCATAGTTGAAAATTATTACCATGAAAATTGCTAAAATTGACCTTTGTGCAAACCATCTCATATGCATTGCACGCTGAGCTCTTGCTGCTGCTTCCATGCTGTCAAAATGTAGATACACATGCCCAGCACTATTCCTGCAGGTCAAATAAACAGTTAAGAATGGAAATGTACGGCCATCTCAACTCAAACCAGCACCCTGTAGTTGCAAGCCTAAAACTGTGTACAAAGATTGCAGACACACGGTTCAATTTAAAATAGAATTCCCATAAATATGGCATTCTAAAAGGGTACTGGATTGGGTACATGTAGACAACACGGTTCAATTTAAAATAGAATTCCCATAAATATGGAATTCTAAAAGGGTAGTGGATTGGGTACATGTAGACATCATGACAATGTGATACCATTGGAAGGCCAATATTCACTCTCCTTTTTTCCTTAAAAATAGCTTAAGAAGCAGTCAAGTCCAGTAACCTCAATTGGTTGTGACTTTGAGTAAGCAATACACTCCATTGGTAGTGCTTGCAATTAGAGTTCTGGTGGAGAGAGTGAGTGATGATGCATGTACAAGATCTCAACGAAAGTTCCATGTCACCAGAATTTTACAGGAAATCAAGAGTAACCAGACGCAGGACAATAATCATTCAATAAGTATATCAGCACACTCATATAGGCACCGAAACTCTAATGAAACCCTAAAACAAAGAAGCAAAAAGAATATGGTTCTAAACAAAATAAAACTCTTAATTAAAGTTAATCTACCAGATGTCATAATAACCTAAAATAACAAGACCTTGTGAATGAAAAACAAAAGCAATAAAATAAAATATCTAATTTTCCTAAAACAAACATGTTGAAATCTTCCATTCGTTCTCCATCAGAGCACCTATAAAAAACAATGCAGATAAAGTGCAATGTGTTGTACACTTACTTGTCCACCCAAATATGTTTCACCCGACCGTATCTTGAACATTCTTCTTCTACATCCTCTTTAATATCCAAATCAAAATCTGGTTCCGTCTGCAGCATTTTTATGAGAATCAGTACTGCTCAATGGAGAACTGACAAAAAAAAATAAAACACAACCTCAGTGGCTGGATCAAACATATTCTTCAGCAATAGACACTCGCTGGGTTGCCCAATAGATTCATAAGCAGGGGAAGGTAAAACTAGTGCCGGAAATGCTGCTGCTCCAATATTAGTTTGCCCATTGACAGGCAAGCTAATGGCTTGTTGATTTGGAGCTGATCCATTTAGCAAAGGTACTCCAAGAGAGCCTGCAATACTGGAAACAGAACTTGATAAGGCTATGGAACTGATATTTAAATAGAAAAAACAAAATTAAACAAGATAGACAAACCTTGTGGCAGTGCCAGTCCGATCCAGCTTCTGCATAAGCAATGCTCTTGATTGAGCATTCAAAGCCTGAATGGGAAAAGTGAATTCATTTCATCAGCTGAATTTTGGAGAAATTAAAAATGCCAGAAAAAGAAACAGTGCAACTATTGACAATCTTTCCTATGTTAGTCCTCATACCCTCAAATCATAACATCAAGAACTTCAACCTCAGCAAAACAATAACTGAATCATCAAACTTTGTTGCACAAAAAATAAAATTTCCAGCAAGTAAAATTTTCAAATTGGCATTGGCATATTTGATTAACCTTAGTGTCTTAAAATTGTTGTACAAACCAGAGTCTCCAGTTACTATTACAAGTTTTCTCATTCTGTCAATTCAGAATTCATTTGACAGTTTTGGATGGGGAACCTGGAAAATAAAAGCATTAACTCGGGCATTTGTTTTGCATAAAAAATGTAAAATGTTTTACCATAAAGCCCTTTACACAAAACAAATTTATGATGTTTGGTAAGTATGGTGCAACAATATAGTAGTGGAATAATGATGATGATGGGAGTGGTGGACTGGGGTATTGATGGTGACTGAAATAAGTTGATAATATTGTGATCTGATTATTGTCCTTAAATTATCTTATGGAATTTCATGAGCTGACAAATAAACTATAGGTTGGCTTTGAAATATTTTATGAAAACACAGAAAAATCAAGAAAACATTTTCTTATAAAATATTTTATGCAAAACAAACACCCACTTGGATTACAAATTATCTCAAATCCGTGTACATAAAATGAGAAACCTAGCATGATTTAAATCATACTCATATAAGGTTGCTAGCATTCTGTCTATGTTATATAACTATCACGACCACAGAGGACATGAATTTTTAACCAATTTTAGCAAAGTCTCTCTGATCTACATATTTCAAAAAAAAATCACCCTAAAGCAATCAATGAACACCATTGAGTTCATGAAAATCTATACCTCATTCAGATAATAGAATAATCAGTAAATTTACTAACAAGTTAATTCCATTTTGGGAAAAGAAAAACATGGAGACCTATGAAAACCTAACCACTCAAGATGTTATAGTTGTTAAATTTAATGTACACACATATAGTATGTGATTGTAAAATGATGATGATTAGGAAAAACATTAAAACAGCCGAGATATTTTATTGCAGGGGTTACAGTCCTGTGGAAGCCATCACATTCATTAAGTAGTGGTAACAAAACAGCAAGATGCAATCTGTAAATGTCGATGCTTACAAGATAACAGGATTGCATGACAGTAAGGCAAGTTTAACAGTCTGTCTCAACATCCAGCACAATAGTGACCAAATTTGATTCATCTCCATGTTAGTACATCACTAACTGTACATATATACACCTGCTCTTTCCCATTTATCTTACACATCTTCAATAGATGCAAAAACCGCAAAAGGTTACAGAAAACATCCTGATGCAGGACAGCTTAGGAGCTGTTCTGGATCTGACTTTTGGAGGCTGTTTAGAGATGTATTGAAGTGGATTTCTGCTGGGAATTGTACAAACTATTAGAGTGACACTAATAGGGCCTCTAGGAGTCACACCTAGAGGATAGAAAAACTGACGCTTCACACCTAGAAGAGATTGAGTCACCCAATCAAAATCAAATTGCTAGAATTTTATCCATACACTCCATTAAAATATTGAAAGACTACGTGCTTATTTATAGAGTTCTAGTAGTTCAAATCCAATAAAGACTTGGATTCCTAAGAAAATAATAAGTCTATGTAGAATGGGAAAAAACTAATAAGCTAATTAATCAGGACCAATAAAATATCAAATAGAAAATCTCTGACAACTTTCCAGAATTTCAAGAAATTACAGAAATACTCATTGTCTATGAAAAGAAAATTTTGGCTTCCTTAGTTGTCCACATCACAGAACTTTGGTTCCATGAAAAAGGTTTTAAACTAATCACCATCCTAATAGTATCATGCTGTGCCAGCTTTAGTCATAATATCATAACAACAAAGTGTACCATACTAAAGTGAAAAACAGTTTCAACAGTTCCATTAGTAAAACCAGGTCTTTTGGCCTTTTCCTATTCCCTTCTTTCACAATACTTCGTTTCTCTTGCCCTACCCCACCCCCCCCAAAAAAAAAAATCCCATGGCCTTGTCGAAAATTATTCTGGGTAATTTATAACACAACAATAAAGCTTAGGAACAAAACCCAATACAATGAGCAAACAAGCCATGATTTATAACATTGAAATCCTATATGAAGTTTCAACAGTTTCATTAGTAAAACCACATCTTTTGGCCTTTTCCTATTCCCTTCTTTCACAATACTTCGTTTCTCTTGCCCTACCCCACCCCCCAAAAAACAAATCACACGGCCTTGTCGAAAATTATTCTGGGTAATTTACTCTATAATTTTCATGTGCATTTTTTTTCATTATTTGATTTACAGGATTGTAAATTCAAGAACTTAATGTAAACCATCATCCTTGATAAATAATAGGGGATTACAACCCCCTCCCCACCCCCTAAGAATAAATAAATAAAGTCATTCTTTGTCAATGATCATGCAAGTTCAAGCTCACTCATACAATGGATAGCAACATTTAACTCACCAATCCACCCCCATCATCGTCGTCGAAGTCGGCAGATTTCACTCCACTGTCTTGCTGTCCGCCATGTTCTGTAACAGATGAAACCTATACTTACACAAACAATTCATTACAGACCCCAACACTGTCAAACTCATTTATAGTTAAGGCAGCAAAGACAAATAGTTGACTGACAACAACCACTGTTATATATAAAACATATGAAGAGAAACCTAGTATGAGCTACAAAAACTTAGGCATACCTTAATAGTTCGACCCGCAATCTCCAGTTTTCCATTCAAAGCATTTTGTGCAGCCTTAGCATCTTCAAGTTGAGTAAACTGTAGGAGAGTGGATGAATTAATCAATCAACAAATGTGAATGATTAAATAGTTCAAATATATATTGCAATCAACAAGAAGTCATCACCGACTTGAACAAATCCGAAACCTTTGCATTGTCCTGTCTCAAGGTCAAGAGGCAGTTGCACAAGCTCCACAATACCAAATGGTTCAAAAAGCTGAGTAACACAAAAGTAAGACATTATGTTATGTAGCTGGATCAAATTTGTGAAAGAAAGAGGACGGTTTAATAATTGGAAGTACTAGTTGTCTAACAATTAAAAAAAAAAAAACTCCATCTGTGTCCAGGAAACTAACTAGGCATAATACAAGACCTGTGCACTTCAAAATTCATGCAAAACAAACCATAAAAGCTAAGGGAGTCATTGACTGTTAATTCAACAACAAGGGCTGGTAACAAGTAACGCTTCCTTCAGCAGCATCAGTAATGATCCTCCTAGAGTTCATGAATCTGTAGTGAGTCCAAGTCTATACAGCGAGAGGTCGTTCACCAAAAGCTTCTCAAATTTCTTCTACAGGCATCCTAAACTTCCTTTTCCAATTTAGCACTAGCTTAGCTAAAAACTTGCAAATACCAATGATGCAATTCAGAACAGATATTTAACAGTGGAAAGATAAGGTCAACGTGCCCAAATTTTAGTGGTTGATTTGAAGGGAAACTAAGAAAGTTACTTCTGATATTAAATGATTACTTGTGTAGTTCAGAGAAAGTGATGCCAAAAAATTAATTTTCATTTAAATTGTTGCGGTGGAATGGCAATTTCTCTGATTTATTGGGCATAAATGCCTCTCTGCATAATTATTATGTTACAGCTTATCCCAGTTAATAAACAAAATTGATTATTACAAAAGTAAAAGTGAACTTGTGTCATAATGAACAATAAACCAAATGAACTCTCCAATCATATTACCTGTCTAAGCTGCATTTCTGTCATGTTAAAATGCAAATTCCCAACATATAGTTTTCTGTCAACTGCTCCAAATGGTCCAGCAACACCACCTGTGCCACCGCCTGAAGCACTAGGCTGAACGAGGTTCTTTTCAGCCTCAGAAGGCTTAACCATTACAGGTTGTCCAAGAAGCAGTTGACCTGAAAGAGTTATTGCCATTGGCACAGACATTGCATCATAGAATTCAACATACCTGCAGTTACACCAGGGCAGATAACTAGTCAGAACAAACGAAATGGAAGAAGAAATCAAACGAACAAAGCACACAGCACATAGATGAAGGAAAACAAAAACTGCACGCAGAGAGCTCAAGCTGAGTTTCTTTCAGTGAATCTGATGTCCCATGAAATAAAATGTCAACTCATCAGAATAAATATACAAAACCAGAACACATTGTGTACCATGAGGATCAAGGAGAGAAGAGATGACTTTGAATGAAAAAAAAAAAAGTTAGCAGTGGTCTCCACTTTGATACATGTTTGTGCACAAAAACCCCAAAATCATAAACAAATCAATCAATGCTCCAACCAATGGCTCATCAATAAAAAATTTAGATGTTTTTAAAAAAACCAAGTTTTTGTTAACATAATTTCTTAAGAAAGATGGCTGCCAAAACCAAACTATCCAGACATAAAGGATCAACATTAAAACAGAATGGGAGCACCAATATTGAAATCCAGGACCAATTATACATCGTTCATAATCAGGTCTCTTTACTTACAAAATATTCAGAAGAAGAAAATTGGAATAAAACAAAATTAGGTTTATGTCATCTACCTTGAGTGCGCTGAATGAATTGATTAAACATGAGTGCAAGGTATTCCCATCATCCCTCATCATTATCGCATTGCTATTGCATTTAAGAATACAGTTAAACTTGATTCTTCGAATAAATATGCTAACAGTTACTTTAGAAGAAGTGCAGAATCATCTTGATGTTTAAACAGAAAGGCACACATACCCAACTCCTTTTGACCGCCTTGAATTTCTGTCCATTATCAATCGAACATCCCTGACCTGAAAAATCAAGGAAAACTAATTTCAAATCAAATTTTAAAACAGAGCAAAAAATTGCAGTGTGCAAAGAAATTTCAGAAATTCAAACTACATAACAAAACACCTATCAGAAGGCATTTGCATTGCTAAGATTAGTCTAATCATGTAAACTACTTTTGTATCCTACAAGGTAATCTAGTTGTTGGTGTTTGAGTTTGATAGAGAAAAAATAGTGGCTAAGAAATCAAGGCTCCGGCAACTGAGGAAGAAGTTGCTGAAATGAAAGAGGAATAAGTTGAACGAGAAGTTCTGCATTCATTTGAATTATGAATCGCTGACAGAAAAACATAGTTCTACAATTATGATGTTATCTGGAGCATCTTGTTTGAATTTCCAAAAATACACAAGCATATGGGACAACACCACTCCTTAATACCAAGATAATTCACTTCATGCATGCACACCTTTTGACTCATCCCACATCTAGATGAGACAAGAAAGTCATTACACTACTTGTAACTGAAGCTGAAAAACGCAAAGGCATTTCATTAACATACATTCCTATTCTTCTCAGCAGTTTATCAGGCAACAAATCCATATAATTTTTATACACAGAAAGGAAAAAAAAGGAGTTAATTTCACAAATCATCCTGTGTTTTGAAGGCAGTTTCACTGTACTATCTGTTATTTAGGAACTTTGCATTTGTCATCCTGTAATTTCAATTTAATTGCACTTTGCATCCAAGGGATGTTAGTCAAGTGTTAAAAAGTTTAATTTTTAGCAAATTATATTAAATTAACCAGGATGTTTTTGGAGTATGTTGTGTTATTACCACCACCAAAAGCAAATGCAATCAGGGTTTGGAAACTCATAATATAGTTTGGGAAAATATATCTTGTGGGTTTTTTTTTTTGGAATTGATTTGGACAATATATTCATTAGGAGCATTTTCCTCAAGCTACTCTTTAATGAGCAAGCTCATAGCATTGATGAGAGTATAAAAGGCACCTAAGGATGCAAGTGTGCTTAAATCTTGATGTGCTGAATCATTGAAAATTTGTTTAAGTTGGCCCTCCAAGTACTACTATATGACAACCTGTTCAAATTAATCCATGGTTGGCTTTTAAAACTCAAATCATTGTGTTGCTAGATAAATCGTTCATGTTATGATCCATTTGTACAAAAAATATATTGATTGTGTTTTGTAAAATCAATGCAGAAAAAAAAAGGCGAGATAGAAATATCAACAGTCAAAACCAACAAACCAAATAGAATCCAATTTCAAGACTTTAAGTGGAAAGAGAGAAAGGAATTAACAAGAATAACCAACTTACATGCTAAAATTGGGCTTACTGTTTTTGTGTTTGTCCCTACCAAAGGAATATTGTTTATTGGTAATCAACAGATGAATTTGTGAGTTTTTAAAATTGAAGGAAAAGAGAAATGAGAGATAGAAATATGTTCATTAAGGGGTGTGTGTGTGTGTGGGGAGAGAGAGAGAGAGAGAGACCTGATAAAATGCCTAGCTGTTATAAACACTGGCAATCAGGGTAATTAGAAAAAAATTAACAGGCTACCTAACAGAGTCAAGGATAGAATGTAAAATTATTCAAAGTATAGGAGGCAAAGAAAAACTAGATCCAAAACATAGGATGGGTTGTGAAATTTAATCCAAAAAAAAAGTCAATAAATAAACTTGAAAAGAGCACAATGAGGTTACGTACAGATTTTATAAAATCCAGAAATATACAACTATTCTTGTGTTATACATATAAAAAAAAAAATGCCACTAACCTTGCCTGCTTTCGAGAAGAATTCATACACATCTCTCTCTGTCGCCTTCAAAGGCATCTGTCATCACAAAAATCCATGGGAACAGAACAGCAACAGTGTGAGAAAAAAATGGAACCACGATATATCTATGATTCCATGACTAATAATCATAAAATAGCAGAGCAAACCATGAACCTGGTACACAAAAACAGTTCTTTGGTCCCTTTCTGGATCAGCTTCAGGCTCCACCACTTCTTTCTTTTCTTTAAATCTCCTGGCACCCGAAACACTTTCAAAGTTTCAATTTTTATAAAAGATGAAAATTCATAAGATTAATAAACAGGCATCGACATTCTTATAACTGAAAAGAAAAATCAGTGCTATGATGTCAGAAAAAAATACAAATTTCAAGCCAATTCCATAGTAATTTCATAGAGGACGAGCTATAGTGACACCAAAATGCTAGCCTTTTTTCAATATTATTTCTAACGAGGATAGTTAAATACTAATATATGTACAGCAAGATCGTTCAACACAAAGCAACAACCAATTTCCATGTAAACAAAATCAAACAAAACTTGATTCAAATTTGGAACAAAGCTTCAATTAAAATTTAAAAACCCCAGTTCTTATTTCATTTGATATAGCATATGCATTTCAATCCATGTGATAAAATATTCCAAATTCAATTCACACCCCTTTCACATGGAATGCAAAGGAAGAAGAAAAGAAATCTCATAGGAAGCAGCAGATTCCTCATCAAAAACCTCGAGAAAGCATCCATCCCGCCTTGGGTTTACAGGGGACAATAACATCTATTAACAATCCATCTCAAAACCAAAGCCTTGTCATAAACCATTTGCCTCTCCCGTTGGATATCAAAATTCAGTTTCTAGAGGACAAAACATTAATCAACTCCTAGAACCATACGATAAAAAATTAAAAATAACAGCATCGAATCCCATAATCTAAGCTATAAAGAAAATTAAAAAGGAAAAAGAAAAGAAAAAAAAAATCATCACCTGCTTTCTCTCGCATCAATCTCTCTCTCTCTCCCCCTCTCACGATTATCACTTTCATACCTCCTCGACCTGCTCCTGCTGCGCTCTCTCCTCTCTCTCCCCTCCTCTCCCCCCCTCTCTCTCTTTTCCCTCTCCCTCTCCCTCTCACTCTCCTTCTCTCTCCTCTCTATCTCCTTCTCCTTATCTTTATCTCTCCCCTCTCTCTCCTCCTCTCTCACCCTCTTTCTCCTTTCCCTCTCCTTTTCCTTCTCTCTCCTCTCTCTCTCTCTATCTTTCTGTCTGCTACTTCTATCTCTATCTAAATCTCGGTCTCTACGGTGGTGGCGATCGCGACCATTCTCGTCCTCAGCTAGCAATTTGTTTGCATTTCGGTCCTCGTCGTTGTCGATATCTTCATCACCGACGTCTCGCTTCCTGTAACTTCTCTCGGTTCCGTTTCTCTTTTTGCTACTGCTGCTGTTCTTCTTCCTCGTATCGTCTCGATCTTCCGCTTCCTCTACTGTTTTCTCCAGATACTCAATCTCGTCGAATTCCATTGATTAGCTTTTTGGTGTTAGGGTTTTGCGGGAGAAGCAGTGAGGGCTTTTGCTTTTTGTTGGTGTCAATATGGCTTCGACTATACGTTTTCATTTTATTTAATTGATAGTAAATTAGTAATTAATGAATAGCAGGACTTCGATGTATGTTCTGGGCTTCGCAGTAAAATTATTCACTAGTTAACTTTCGAGTTATTCAAATAGCTGGTGGGAAACAATTTAAAAAAAAAACTGCAAAACAAGATCATGAAAAAAAAATTATTAAATCGATTGAAATTTTTAAAAAATTCATACAACGGTTCAGTTTTAATTTTAAAAATTTTAAATTAAAAAAAAATCAAACTTGAATTAAAAAACACGAGCCATCTTATAAAAAACTCAGTTAAATCAATTTAAATTATTTTTTACTTTAAAATAATTAAATTTAAATTGATTATGATTTGATTTTTATTTTTTATAAAAAAATAATTTGATTATTTTTTTATAAAAAATTAATTTATCAAAAAAATTATCACTTCCAATTCTAATTCAAGACTTGATATAATTATTTCAATGTATGCAATCATATGGAGTTTACAAAGCAATAATATAATATTAAATATTTATTTATTTCTAAATTTTTTACAAAAATATTTTTTATTTTAATTTATCCATTCAAATTTAATTTAAGATATATAATTTTTTTAATTTAATTTTTTTTAATAAAAAAATTTATTAATTTTCAATTTTATTATTCAATTTAAGTTTATGATGTATTACTTTTTTCAAATTTGATACTTCTTTTTTTTATAGTTATTTTTTTAAATTTAACCTCTAATTTACTTTTTATTTTAATTTTCACCTTATTGTTTTAGTTATTAACTTTTATGTTTTTTATGTAATTAATTTTTTATCTCAATCCCCTCCTTCAATGTTTAATTTGTTAGGTTAGGCTTTATATATTTTTCTTGTATGGTGTTTTCAGTTTAATAACCCTATTCATAAATTTAAAAATTTAATTTGAGCCAACATTTTTTTATTTCTTTATTTGACATTAATTATTTTAAAAAAGTATTGGCTTTGTGGTTTTTTTTAGTTTATTTTCTATTAAGTTATCTTGATCTCATCATTCAAGATGTAAAGAATTTTTATTATTTAAATTACATGTCTGTCATTGACCTAAATTGACTTGAGCTGATATTTTTGTAATTTTTTATTCAATTTTTTATTTTAATTTTTTTCAACTTATAATGGTATTTAAAAAAATATTTGTTAACTTATTTATTTAATTTTTATTATATAATTAAAATAAAACTAACTTATTAAACTTGATTAAGGCTAAAGTTGAGTCACTTGTTTTTTCTTTTTTTTTTTAATACTTTTGTTATGCCTAAACTATATTCTAGTTTTGGTTTTCATTTAATTGAAACCCTTTTTTTTTGTTTAATTTTATGTTTCACCTAATATCCCTCCTTTGTGATTTTTTATTTTATTTGTTTAGTTTTTTTAATAAAGGCATTTATTAAATTATTTTGCATGTATTTACTTTTTTCAAGATGTTATTCTTATTCTTCTATACTTTTTTTTATGTTTTATGTTGTTATGCAAAATAAAAAATATTTTAAGAAAGTAAAAATTATATTAATGAAAAAAACACATTAGAGTGCCTTGGAATTTGCCAAAAACTAGCTGAGAAAGATTAAAATATACAAGATTATAAATTTTGACGGTGTATTTTCAATAAATGAAAGCTTTATTAGTAAATAAAATTTAATTTAAGAAAATAAATTTAAAATTAGATCTTTAAATACTCAATTGGAGTTCTACAAGATTTATTTGAATTTATTGAGAGCTTAATTAGAAGAAAAAATAATTTTTGAAATAAATTTAGATTTTAATTAAAAAAAATTAAAGTTTAAAGATTGAATTATAAATTTTAAAACTTAATTGCATCAAATCTTTAAGTTGTAACAGCATATACATGAAACCTCTACAAGCAAAATAATGGTATATCCTTACCAAACTTCAACTATTTATTCAAGTTCTAGAAGATATAACATCATAACAATATTTAATATTTAAGAAGTGAGATATAACATCATAAGAATATTTAATATTTAAGAAGTGAGTTGTGAATTATATTTTGTTCCATATCTATAACAATTTTTCAAGTTTTACAAAATATTCAGATGGGCATGTTAAAAGTAAAAATAAAATAAATAAATAAATACCGCTAATTTTGCATATTTATGAATACACTCTTTTTTACCGTACTATTTTTCAGCTGTATTAATAACTAGAATTCTCTATAAGCCCCCCGGATGTTCTAATTGTACTTATTTTTCTGAAGGTATTGGTTCGATTAACATGATAAAATGAAATTTTACTTTTTCTCCCTTGTCGCCTATTCTGGTGTAATGCGAGCATATAACATGCGCAACACATGAGCTGTCATTTTAAATTTCTCACCCAGACTTTGTCTTCCTGATTTCGGGCATATTCTCTACACAAGTATGAATTCCCAAGCAATGAAAACAAGGGCATGAAATTGATGGTATTATATTAGCAGGATGGTGAATATATATATGGCTTTGATAATAAAGAAAGGACATTAAATAATTGATGAACTCACAATATACCTGGTATTTCCATATATTTATCAAAGTTACAATCAAAATACCGAATCATTTGTTTAGTTCTTTTTTATATCTGGTTCGTATTTTCTATTTATTAAATAAAAAACCATCTCTGACATCTAAAATCTCAATTGTTTATAAAAAAAAAACATCATTGAATCTTGATTCTACTGCACTAGCATTAAGAAAAATAAAAATTATACCAATCTAATCTGATTTTTAGCAATGACATACCATATAAAAAAATATTATTCGACAAGGCTTTAGTCTTCAAAAATACACATAACATATGTTAAAAAATTAAAAATAGAGTTTGAAAAAAAACATCACACCTAGCCTAACAGGATTCAAGATCAAGTGTGGGAAAGAAAATCAAGAAGGTGACTGGTTTGCTAAATTTTAAAGTCAGGTGTAGTGTGTGACATGCTTGTATAGGAAAAGGGAGATGGTTGTCAACCTACTGGTTTACAGGGATTATATTTAAAAATAAAGATTGAAGCCTCGTTGAAAGTCTACTAAACTACTAATTTATAAGAGTTACAGCTTAAAGATTTATTAATTTGATTTTGTTAAACAACTACATCTAGCCTTAAAAATTTGTATAGCGATGAAGAGATATTTTTTTATCAAGTTGTGAGTGAGAAGTTGAGACTTAAGAGTTATGGCTTGTGAAAGTTTGGAGGGCAACTTGTTTGTCAAAGAGTAAGGATGAGGATGGTACTGCTAAATTAAGATTGAAAATTAAAAAATGATTTTATAATATATTTTTTAAAATAGACTAGTTTTGTTAAGGTTGAATTAATTTCAAGCTTATTGAATTAAAACTGAACCAAACCGAATATAATATAAATTTTTAAAATATATTTTAATTAATTTTTTTTATGATTTTATTTTAATTTTATTTTTTTAATTAGTTTCTTAGTTGTTTTACTCAATCCTAGTTTATGGACAATGTTCTTTGTGTTATTATAACGAACATTGTTTTAGCTTTTTTATTTGGATAAATTGATCAATTTCTTTGCACAAAATCCTTATTTATGCATGATTAACCAATAATTTGGTGTTTATTTGCATCAGTAACATGATTTTAATAGTTTTTAATCATGGAATTTTAATTTAAAATCAAAATCTATTTTAAAAAATTCATGATATTTAAATTGAAGTAAATGAATATTAGATTATTGAACCTTACATGATTTTAAACATACATGTATTTTTTTTTTTATCAAATCTAGTATGTTTTATAATTTATGTTGTCAGGTTTTATATCTGGTGTTCTTTATTTTATCTGCATTTCATTTATTTTGATTAATAATTTTTTAATTTGTGTGTTTTTTCAGTTGTTCAATCTATTTTTTTGCTTTAATTTTATTTTTGAATTATTTTCAAGTCAAATTATTATTTTTTATTCGGTTTATAATCAAACCAAAAATCTTGGATTAGCTTGATCAGGTAAAAATAAGTTATCAGTTCAAGATTTTATTTTCCATATTTTTATTAAATGACCTTTTTGGTTCAAGCTTGTGTTTAAAACAATTACTAGATATATTTTTAGTAGTTTTATCAATCCAGTAAAGTAAAATTTATAATAAATTTATAATATGTCGATGTTAAAAATAATTTTTTAAAATAAAAATATTATTTTAATATATATTTTAAATAAAAAATATTTTAAAATACAACTATAACATTTTTAAACCATTTTTTATTGCATGCGAGGAAATCCTCTCCCTTTTGGCAAGGATAACAAATAATTATAAATATTTTACCTATTAAAGACAGCTCGTGTCAGTCTCAATTCAAGTGAAATTCTCATTATTTTTTATTATTTTGAAATTATAAACACTATATATGTGCATAATATTAATGTTGAAGTATGTGTATATTATATCCAATAAAAATATTTCTTATGCAGGTGTATTGATTCAAACTTAATTGAATTTTAAGTTAGATTTGATAACATTTACATTTTATTTACTATTCTTATATAAAATTTTTAAATATTAGAAGATACTTTAAACCATATGGTTTTCACTGCAACAATTTATGTTAATATTTTTTTTTAAAAATTAATAATTAAACTTTATTTATCTTTAATTTCATTATTTTTATGCTAAAATTCACAACCAATATGTCAAGAATTGTCAAGGAGGGGCAAAATTCAAACGAACTTGACCGAAGTGTAAAATAAGAAGTAAATAAGTGGCAGTTTTAAAAATACTATAAAAAAATTATTTTGATGCTCTTGTTTTTTAAATGATAGCTCCCGTGTATTAACATTTCAAAAATTAAACTACGACATATAACTTTATTTTTTTAATTTTTCAATCCATACTTTAATAGACGAGAGGGAAAGTTGCTACATTTTGGTCGAGGAGAGAGTTTTTATAAATATCAACTATCACAATAAAAAAATTAATTTTGATATTAACAAGTTTTATTAAATAAAAGAAGTTTCAAGTATGTATTCTTTGTTTATAACATTG